TTATTCTTTAGAGATTCATTTTTCTTCAGCATACTGTTAGAGTGGAGGTTTCACCACTTTTTTAAAACTCAGGAACTGCAGCAGCTGTTCCATTCAAAATCCAGAAAAGACCAGATCGCCTCAAATGTCTTACCATGACATTCCAAGGGGATTCTGGCAGAAGACAGGTGGAACAAGTAGGAGAGAAAAAAAAGGCATAAATGGTGATTTATGTTGCTTGCCTTGAGACTTCCAATGGCCCCCTGCTAAAGTTACAGTGAGAGTCTAGCAGAAACCCCTCTAAGGCCCCTTGTCTCCATGACTGGGAATTTGTCTTACAGTTTTTCCACAGAAATATTGGGGTAGGTCAAAATTACTTGACATGCTAGGTGTTTAAGTGTAATGTTGATTTTTTACTTTAATATAAAAAGGAAGCTTTAAATTAAGATTAAGTCATTCATTTCAGAAACAAACAAAGAGGGCAAGTTATTTAGCTGTCTGGTTGTTCTATTTTTGGAAATCTCTAATCTGCCGAGGTAGTGGGAGAAGGGGGCATTGGTAGGTAGAGGACAGATGATTTTTAACAGTGAGAAAGATTTTTTCCTCGTTACCAAAACATTTATTAAACAAGCAAGTAGGAACATCAAAAGAAAGACAGGCGATTTCATGGAGAATGGTTCTGACCCTTGACATACAACTGAATACAGAAGAGTTGGTTCACTCAAGTCAAGCAAAATGAAGCACTGAAGCAAGTTTGCAAAACATGCTTGGGTTTTCTGTTATTATATATTAAATATATATATTAATATATATATATATTTCTGTTATTAAAATAACTAGCGACTGAAACACATTGTGATTTTACCTGTTACATACAACACACCCCAAAATTGGAAAAAACAAGCTAATGATTTGAACTCCTTGAGATAACAAGGTGTAGAGCTGGATGAACACAGCAGGCCAAGCAGCATCAGAGGAGCAGGAAAGCTGACGTTTCGGGCCAGAAACAGGGGAGGGGAAGGGGGTTCTGAAATAAATAGGGAGGGGGATAGAAGATGGATAGAGGAGAACATAGGTGGAGAGCAGACAGACATGTCAAAGAGGCAGGGATGGAGCCAGTAAAGGGGAGTGCAGGTGGGGAGTTAGGGAGGAGATAGGTCAGTCCAGGGAGGACAGACAGGTCAAGAGGGCGGGATGAGGCTAGTAGGTGGGAGATGGGGGTGGGGCTTGAGGTGGGAGGAAGGGACAAGCTGGGCTGGTTTTGGGATGCAGTAGGGGGAGGGGAGATTTTGAAGCTTGTGAAGTCCACATTGATACCATTGGGCTGCAGGGTTCCCAAGCGGAATACGAGGTGCTGTTCCTGCAACCTTCGGGTGGCATCGTTGTGGCACTGCAGGAGGCTCCATCCCCGCCTCTTTGACCTGTCTGTCTCCTCTCCACCTATCTTCTCCTCTATCCATCTTCTATCCCCCTCCCCCTCTCTCCCTATTTATTTCAGAACCCCCTTCCCCTCCCCCATTTCTGAAGAAGGGTCCAGATCCGAAATATCAGCTTTGCAGCTCCTCTGATGCTGCTTGGTCTGCTGTGTTCATCCAGTTCTACACCTTGTTATCTCAGATTCTCCAGCATCTGCAGTTCCTACTATCTCTGAAACAATTTGAACTCCTTAATCTGTTGTATTAGAGATTGAAGAGGGATACATATGAAAAAGACAGGAGTCACCTATCCTGATCTGAAGGGATTATTGTTACACTACCTTATACTTATAACCTAAAGATGTAAGTGAATTTCCAAAAGAGGTCAGAAGCCAAGTCTAATTTAAGAGAATGGCTGGTGCTACTGAACGCGAGAGGGAATCAATATCAGATAAGAATTGCTATAGTCTCCTCTTTTCCAAGAAAAGAGACCACCTTCCTCAATGGCAATCAGAACTCGAGTTTGTAACATTCAGAATCATTTCCAATGCTCATTTGTAACTGTCAAAGAATATTAACATCCACCCTGCAGTTAGACAACCAGGGGGGTACACAGTGGGATTTGACTAGCAATATACGTCACAATAATATAAAATCATACTTACTGCACCTTATCCATCCATCCATTCATGCAACCCAGCAGCTCATTTGCTTTTTGTACCAGAGTGAATCATTATGCTGCAGCTTTCATAGAATCTCCAATTATAAATAACGCAAGTTTCCCCCCCCAACCCGATTACTCATCACAACTTTGTTCTTTTCTCCACATCCCACTTATAAAATCTCCTTATAAGTGTTAAGGACCAACATCAGATCTCCTCACAGTCTTCTTTCTCAAGAAGAATGCCCCCTACCTGCTTAATCATTCCTCAATCTGATAAAGCTTGTCTGTAATTTCACCTAAAACTATGAAGGCCACTTTTACATTTTATTGTATTTTGGTACAATATGCCCTAGTTGGGAAATTGATGGGGATGGCAAACAAGTACTGATCCCTCTGGGCTCCTCTCCTTGCCAGTCCAAAACCTCTGCTCAAATCCTACCTTTTGTATTGTAGGAATCTTCCAATCCATTCTGCTACGTGGCTATTAATTTTAACTCAGATTCCTTACGTTATTTAAGCCAAATGACATTTGCATTCCCTTTTTAAGTTGATTGAAGATTAAAACCATCTCTATATATGCTGCTGCCAGGTTTGCATTTCAATCCTGTGTGATATTGATACATCTGATCTTCAGACTTGTTTTACAAGAAAGCGCAACATATATCCAAATGTTGTTGTTATTTCAGTAAAGCGAGCTGCATGTCAAAACGTGGCCAACCACATGACTGAACTTTTGCTGGAAGCCCAATGATATAAACAGTAGGTCAAACAAGATGGACAGCAGAGAAAAATTGCTTAGTTTTACTGGAACAGACAAATTTTAGCTGTACTTAACCAATCATAGAATACAATCATAAGCTCAGTGAGAGGCCATCATGTTCGAGCCAACTCTTTCAAAGACCTGCCTAGTTTTGGCATATTTGTGCAAGAACACAAGTATTGGGAGCAGGAGTGGGCCACTCGGCCCCTCAAGTCTGTTTGAACTTTCAACAAAATCACAGTTGATCTTCCTTTCTGCCCGCATAACCCTTGTCAATCAAAGTTCTGTCTAACCCAGCCTTGAACATGCTCAATGGTCCAACCTCCATTCCCAGAAGGCAAAAGAAATTCTCCTCATCTTAGTATTATATGGGAGACCTGCTCATATTAAACTATGACCCCTCATTTCAGAGCACCCAACAAGGTAAACACAGGTAATGGTGGATAGTCTAAAATAGACTAAATCCACTTTTCATTGACTGGGCATGGTTGATTGTGTGGGAAATAATAGGGGTCCAACTGTTCATTGCTGTCATAAAAGGGTTCATGCCTTTTTATGTCTATTTAATTTATGTCAATTTCACTTTAGTGGATGGTAGCTAATCTTGTCAAGGAAAGAAGCTTCACACGATCTGTTACCTAATAATGCCACAGCATTCCCATTTTGACTGCACACCTGGCAATTTCTGCTTGTTATGTACAGATACCATGCCCGAAATCAGGCAGAGACCACTAACGTGTACAGTGAGTAGCCCATCACTGGCTCAAACTGTCATTTGTTTGGGGATAAAAGGTACATGCAGAAATCCATTTCCAGTCTCATGGCAGTGATATCGCATAACAAAAAAAAACAAAGGTACGCATTGATCCATAGCCAGATATCAGGGAACGACAATGTGACATACTCTGACTCATAAGGAATCCCCAAACACCTGCACTGTGAAAGTTTCCAATACCCCGACACTGCCACTTGTGCCAGGGAATCAATAATTCCAGTTGCTCCCAGATCAAAACAGAAAGTGGTAAAAATTCACAGAAGGCAATATGAAAGAGAAAGGCTGGTTAGTGCTCCCAGTGAGGCCCTCCATCAGAACATACTGAACACAGTGAGCCATGTAACACGCTCTCCACATCCTTCAAGCACTTGAAACCTTAGCACACCATAGCTGCCACTCTATCAAAATTCTGCTTCTGATGAGGGGCCCAAAGCTCTTGTCCTGATTCCTGACTGGCTGCCTCCTGTGTGCTTCTCTCTTTCTCAGACATCCAGACCAGAAGCCCCCAGATCAGTTAACACGCAGACTTACTTTTTTCCCCTCTGTACATACACACACAGCGTTTAGAAAATGTAATCAGATTGCATATATAAAGTGTAGACCAGGCAGTGGCACTGCACATTCATGAACCATTTGCTCAAAAATAGAATTTCAAAATTGCAGAAAACCAGTACACTCCAGTGTGTGCTGCCTAATGCTTGGCGGTTCGGGGGGTGGGGGAGAAATAGTGAGGATCTGTTACTGCGATTACAAGGGGTGCTGCTGCGTGTAACAAAATCTGAATGAACTCCATGCGATAATGATACAGATACCAATGACTCTCTTGGAAGAATGCGATGCAGTTAACCCGACCTTAGGTGTAAATTGCTGAATTTGGCTCCAATCTGAACCTGTATGCACCCCTTCAGTGTCCTTGTGATCAGGTACAGGAGGGCTGTTGGATGTGAAGAAGAAATAAGGGGTGGGTAGAGGGGGAAGAAGCTGTGCGGGAGGCGAAAGCGCCCGAGATTTGTAAACTTCACTCCCACACAACGGCAGGGGTTGAGAAAAAAAGTCCTTTCCCCCTCCCATCAAATTCAAACACAGCACTCAGCTAAGTGTCCCTCCTCCTCCCCCACACTCCACAGAAGCCGAGAGATAACACATTTCAAAGCTCAGGGCTGCAAATACTGGACCCTTGTCCGAACCGGAGCTGGACCGGGCAACTTTCTCCAAGGGGGGAATGCCCACAGTCAGAGGCTATCGGTAGGACGGACCACGGTGTGGACCTGGATAACATCTTCTGTGCTAGAGCTGCAACCAGCTTCATTTACAATCCGGCTGACACACACACACACACACACACACAGAAGATAATCCAATTCCCCTTCTCTCTCCCTCACGGCAAACCCTCGAAATAAAACTCACCCAAACACCTCGAGCTTCGCACTGTGCTGAAGCGGATTGACTGTGAGGAGCTGTAGTGAGAAGCCAGGCACCGCTGGGTGTTCACACTGTCGGACTGCAACCCAGAGAGAAAAACCCTTACTTCTCCCCCACGGTGGATCCGGCTTCCACAGAAATAGCAAAAGACCCACTGACGTCAGCCTACAGCTCCATGTGTGGCCAATTGGAGAAACAACTCAAGGGATGGGACTGAAACATCCATTAAAAACACACAAGCAGAAATCCTGGTGGAAAGATCACACCAGTACATATTCCCGTACAGGGCTCTAGGCAGACAGATTCTGTAACACTTCCCACAGCATACAACAACTCTTCTTACACTAAGGATGCACAAGGGGCTGGGAGTTGGAACTTGGAGGAAGTGTAGGGAGGCGTCACTACTCTCACAGCAGGTAATTCAGAGGCTGACCGAGAAAATAAACTGGCCTGAGGAGAGCAGCAGAGGGAGCTGCCTAACAGCGGAAGCTATACTCCGGACTGTGAGCCATGTGGGTGCTGCATGAGTAGACAGGGGAATTTGGGGAGGCTACCTCAACAGGGGGCAATCAAGTAAAAACAGCAGATAATGACCAAGCAGAGGCATTTACCCGAGTCGCAGAAAGGATCTGGGCCTAGGGAAGGAGTTAATTTATTATTTCTGTCAGCGTTGATGTGAATGTTGTCCATCCCTATATTGCCCTTGAGACGGTGATGGCAAGCCACCTACTTGAATTAAAAACAGAAATTGCTGGAAAAGCTCAGTAGGTCTGGCAGCATTTGCAGAGAGAAATCAGAGTTCAGAGAATCAGAGAAATCAGTTCTGAGGAAGGTTCACTGAACCCGAAACATTAACTCTGTTTTCTCCTCCACAGATGTTGCCAGACCTGCTGAGCTTTTCCAGCAACTTTGCTTTTGTTCCTGAGAAATCAGAGTTAATGTTTTAGATTGAGTGACCCTTCTTCAGAACGGACTTGAATCATTTGATGAGCAGCCAATTGTTGTTAGGGAGGGAGTGCCAGGGTTTTGACCCAGTGACACTGATATATTTCCAAGTCAGGACATGAGTGGCTTGAAGGGGAATTTGTAGGTGGTGGTGTTCCCCTGCATCTGCTGCTCTTGTCCATCTAGATGGTAGTGAATCTGGAAGGTATTTCTGTCGTGCATTTGTGGATGATATACACAGCTGCTACTGAGTGTTGGTGGTGGAGAGAGTGAATGCTTAAAGTGGTAGATAGGAGCAGGTTGTTTCTCGCCAAGTGGAGAGTATTCCATTGCATTCCTGACTTGTAGCTGATTGATAGGCTTTGGGAAGTCAGGAGAACTCCCAGCTTCTAACCCGCTGTAGTGGTCACAGCGTTTATACAGCCGACCCAGTTCAGTTGCCAGTCTGCACCACGTTCCCAGTGGCAATACAAGTTGCTAACGGTCTCCAAACTCCATTCAGAGGGCTTTTTCAGTTACTGGCATTTCTGGGATCACTCGAGCAGTCTGCTGCGCATTGCTATAATTCTTTTTGGTCAGTCAGGCATCCAAAACATGTTTTGAAAAAAAAACCACTGAAAAATCCACATTAAGTATAAAGTTTCCATCTGTCTGATACACAGTCCGTGTTCTCCCCTGTGTGAAACAACTCAGTTACCTAAGTTGGATTAGCAACCTTATTAACAGAGAGATCCATTTTTAGAAAATTAATCAAAACTGCAATATCTTAAGAACTATAATGCATTTACTTAAGGAGTTATGCCAATGAACAATAAGACAGATGGAAACTGGACACATTACAATAAGAGGATGGGTGCAAAAATAGGAAATGACAGAAATAACTATTATTTCTATGTCGTTTCTGTTATTGTTCAATATCAGGGTAGATTAGAATGTATTCAATCAATCAATGTCAGGAGTCACAAACAAATATTTAATAAATTCTGATCAGTCCAGAAGATTGAAGTCCAGCTAAAAGAACAGCCTGGAATTTAAAGGGTTTGTGATGGTGAATCCTTTCCCTTCAGCAATAACTGAAAACAGCAGATGTGGCAAGGACACCATCTTTTTCATTCTCATATCACTGCCAGAAGCCTTATTAAAAGTTTAAGCCTTGTTCATTGAGTTTGAACTGGGGTTTTAATAGTAACATGGGCAATAATCTTTCCTGAACAGTTTATCTGGCCCTGGCAAATATGTTGAATGGTGTTCGATGACTAAGTGCTGTGTCTTTTTCACAGCAATTTTTAAAATAATTAAAAAGGAAATCAAAATATTTTCATGATATTTCATCTTCAGCTGTAACCTCATCCTAATCTTAATTTAGCTGCGTGCAGTGTTTTTAAGAACTAATTTGATTTTGCTGCTTATCATTTCCTGTTTGGCTTTCTGCAGGAATTCTTTAATGTGACTGACTGTGCGGACTGCCAACGATTCCCATTGAAGAAAGTTAGAAGCAATGCACAGTGGGAAAGTTAAAATTCTCATCACAATGATCATTGATGTCTCAACAAGGTTTTCTTCAAGATCAGTGGCATGTGACTTGCCTTACTCTTATTAAAAGTCAGGAACGGAATTAGTCTCCTCAAAGTGTATGAAGGACTACGGTTCGAAATTAACTGTCTGTAACTATGCATCTCACAGCAGGAAACAGAAAAGGTAAGCTTTTTCATTCTGTCTGTTGTGTTTTTTGTTTGCAGGATCATCTGAAACTGAGTGGGGAAGAACCCCAACTATATTGAAAAGCACATATCAAGGCCCCTTTAAGAAAGCAGGCAGAAAGAATAGCCATGAACAATGCCCTGGTGTAGCATGTACCTGGCTGCCAGGTAAGAGAGGAACAAGTCTGCCAGAAAAGACTTTTCCAGGCATTTCATTTGGAATCAAGCCTGGAGCCTGGCTGGTTTGCCTACTATTAAAAAAAAATTTAAATGTCCTTTTTGTTGTATTTGCACGAAGATACATATTTTATGTCATTAAGTAGACTGACCATAATCCACAAACGCCAAGCATTGCATTTAGTGTGATACAGTATAAAATAATCACACAGTCTGTCATCAAATCTGATTTTTTCTCTATTAACCTTGGATATTCTCAATTTTGGAGTTAATGTACACAACACACAGTTACTGCATCTTCCACTTCCTGTTATGAGTTGGATTCTAAATATTGCAACTTAATAAAAGTCCACAATAGTGTTCATTTGCCATTACAGGAGTTGCGCGTGGGCCAGTACATGATAAACAAAAAAGTATCTGTCACGTGGAGCTCAATTTGGAGCATGTTACTTGGATAAGAATTAGAAACTATTGTGAAAGTTAATGGAATTTCTCCTAATCCCCCCAGCTTTCTCTGCTGGTGAAATCTCTACTCATCACCAACCAATGAACCAAAAGCTCAAAGTAAACCTAAGTTCAACAGATAGAATTGCCCAACACAAAATAATTATTGGGTGAAAGTTGGAGAAGGATTTCAGCACAACTGTAATCCTGAATATAGTTAGAAAAGATAATGATATATTTCAAACCCCACCAAAATAATTTGTTTGATTGTAGTTCAAGACACTTGCTGGCCTGCTTATCACTAATGTGCTAACTACTATAAACTAAATTTAATTTCAACAGTTTGCATTTGTATACATCAGTCTGTTTTCCTGCTTAAAAAGAAGTCATTCAGTTCATTAGCGGACACTGGGGTGTAGTAAATAATCTGTCTATTTTGGGGGTACACTGATTTGGTAAGAGGAACAGTTTCTACAACATTTTCTTTAAAAAAAATCTTATAAATGATATCAAGGCTATTAACAACTCTACTTCAGTCTGTCTTTTCTCCTGCTCTTGTTTCCAAGGGTTGGGCCATGGACCTCCATTGGATTAGTGCTTATCAGCAAAGAATATGAGTGGTTTAACATTGACACTTGCAAGGCAGCTGACTGGGAGGCTTTCCTACTTCTACTGCCTGCAATGAGGAGTTATGGAAGGGCTTACAGGCTAACAATTTACCTGTTTGGTTGCATTACCAAAATCCTTCTCTGCGTATATGGAATGTGGACATGGAATGTGAATTTGGACCTTCTTGTGTATAGGCACAAATACTACCACTGCACCACAAGACCTCCACCCTACCTTAGTAGGGCCTGGTAAAATATATTAAACTGTGGAATAAGTTGGACCATCAGCATCTAGCTGCTCCTTTATCAGTTCAAAATGATGTTGCTCCATTGGCTAGCATGTAGAAAAATAACTATTTTTTTCTATGAAAGAAGAAAATGGCAGAAATGTAGTATGGTCAAAATGAGACAACAACAACAGAATGGGTTTCTGAAACTTCAGGGAATGTTCATTCAGCAAAGGTATGCTCTTTTTAAAGGGATGTGAAATCGAGTTCTCCTGAAGTATGTTGGCTCAGTCACATGTTAAAGATCACTGTTTGGAAAATATTAGTGAGCTCTTTCAGTGTCTTATGCAACAGTGTGCACTCAATCAACAACCAAAATAAGATTATCTTCTCACTTGTTACGGTACCTTGCTATGCACAATGTATTGTACTTCAAGTTATTGTATGTGGGAGCACTGTGTCAGGTTTCTAAGATTCCCAATCATGGAATGCAATAATCTAGGTATTTCTTTATCTTCCCAAACATGATAGTGTTAATCTTCTGACAGATGATTGGTGAAACTGGAGACCAAAAGCCAATCTTTATTCAGTTTTAGATTTATTCACGGTGTGAAATATTACCATGACTGTTGTACAGTGGCGCACCAGTCAAAGTGTAATATGAATGTTTAATGTTCTGGCAGCAAATTCTTGTCTGTATTATTTTAATAAGGGTATTAATCAATTTGTTTAAAGATAGTTAGTGCGAGCATTACAAGACAGAAAAAGAAAACTGGCATAAGCATGTTAAGTGTTTGTATCAAAACAGCACCGATCGGAAAATATGCAACGTTGTTCCTATCCAGCTGGATTTTATTCTGTTTCTTTGTCATCAATATAGACACTGACTAGTACACTGCTGATTCTTTTCTGTACAATGATATTTTCATGTAGCAAATTTATTAACATCTCTTTTAAAGAAGGGATGTTGAATAGCCTTCGCAGAAAAGGTGTTAGTACACTACATGACCAGATTCTTGAGAATACCCCACGTTTGATGATGGGAGAAATGGTGATTTAAATTAAAAAATGCTCCAGTGTATATTAGACATAATAAACGTAATTGTGATTGGGCATAGTATTAACAGACAAATCCTAAACATGTTGGTGTAACATTCCTCTATCCTCAATTAGACCATTCCTCAACAGGATCAGTTCCAGGCATCTGGTATTCCATGTAATACAATCACT